TATATGGTATGCACTGTTCTTGCTTTGGGCCGAGGACAAGGTTTGTTGCGTGTCCTTCTGGTAGGGCTGGATGACCTCGACTTTGTAAACTGTTGAACAATAGAGAAAAATAGACTGCACATCTCACCGGGACTATTGTGGCGATCCTATTCATTACGGTTCAGCCTTATGAGCAACAACAAAAGCGACACAAACATTACCCAAATTGTATTTGTATGTCTCTAATGTCTGATGTTTACGAGTTACATAAACTTGCATACATTTTTATAAGTTGGGATAATGTTTAATGTAAGTGGCTTTCTATTCGCAGTCCTCTGTGATTAACTAGAAACCAAGTCTATATAATGCGGTACTCCGCTTGCTGCACTATATGCGCATATTAGAATGCATGTTATACATTTGCCACATCTGCCTTAATTTACAATGTTGAGTTTTTTACTCAAGACACGAGAAATGCTAAATGGGAACCTTTGTCGGGTATTCAAGTTCAGGAAAAGCATTAAATTCCCAATAAGCAAGCCCATGTCATCTCTAATGCCCAGGAATTATTACTACTTACATCACAATAGTTCAAGAAGAATGTTTAAATCTGGAGTTGCCTGCTATTTACTGCGGGCATAAAACGGCTTGAAACGACGTCTACACATTCATCTTTTTATGCATCAATTTAAAATACGTCTGTCTCTATAGTCACACCCCATATGAAGCAAACTGAACATGTTTAGAAAATGTAAAAAACAAACATTGAGAACACGACGCCAATCGTTTGATCGGCATTAGTAAATTACGACTTTACAAATAATACTTTCTTTTTGATACACAAAGGGGCGTTACCACGTTTATTCTTACATCATTATAAAGATGAAGGTTACTACACTAGATGATGAGAAGTATATATGCATTGTATGTATGCCAAGCAGTACATTAACATTAGCAGCAGCAGCAGCAGAAACAACAACAACAGGTAATTGAGCAAGTTGCGGACTATTGGAGGAGAGTAGGAGAGTAGGATCAACAAATAGCACAAATCTTTAAACCAATGTACAGAAAGTATTAGATTGTAAACTTTCACACACCAGTTATCTCCCTTTGCGAATGTTTACAAAATCTTGTACACCTCATCTTTACTAATTGTAAATGTCACGTAAATGTCATCTTTACAAGACATTTAAAAGCTTATAAATGTAGACTTTGTTTGCAATGCACTCCATTTTTAGTAGTTTCAAGACTATCTCCCTGAACCGCATCCTTTCATCTTTCTCTAAAAAGGATGTAGTTGGATGTTTTCTAAGAGGGTTACAGTACCACTCACATGTCATCCAGAACTATGTAGAGAGTTTATATTTTTCAAATCTGAAAAAGTAACTTCAGTCAAAAGTCCATCCCAGCCAGGCATTTTTGAGCTTTCAATTATCTTGAGTTTATTCTCCCTATGCTTGTGACTAGGGAGCATAGGGGATGGTGGCACGGGCTCAGGTCCCAATATTGGAACCAAATGTCTTTAAGAACTATCGTCCAGTTTCAAATCTGCCATTCATTTCCAAATTGATAGAGCGTGTTGTAGCAAACCAACTGAAGCAACACCTCCTGGATCAACAATCTTGGTGGCACAAACACAACCACAGTGCAGCAAAACCATAATTTTAGCACGTGCATCGACGGTTTTGGATGGAAAGCATTTCACTCTGAGGTATCCTTTATGAAAAAACAGTTCAGCATTGACCCTTGGAGGTGTACACGCCAAACAAACGACGCCTAGACTAACGACTGAGCAGAGGGGGAATGGCCATTGGAAAATTGCACGTAGGTAGCTCTGCAACCGCTGTCGCTAGACAATTGGGCAATCATTTTACGACCATAACACGACTTGCTCAACGTCATCAGCAAACGGGGCGGTGGGGTAACCTAGTCGTTAAAGCGTTGGCTCGTCACGCCGAAGACCTGGGTTCGAATCCCCACACGGGTACAATGTGTGAAACCAATTTCTGGTGTCCCCCGCCGTGATGTTGCTGGAATATTGCTAAAAGCGGCGTAAAACCAAACTCAGTCAGTCAGTCAGTCATCAGCAAACCGGGGTTGCTGCTGATCGTCCCTGTACCGGACTGCAACGAGTGACAACTCATACGCAAGATCGGTTCATCCGGGTCACTCATCTAAGGAACCGAACTCAAGCAGCAACAGTAACAGCAGCCTTAGTTTTTGGGTCAAGGGGAGCAGTGTCCAGCGATATGATAAGGCGTCGTCTTCGGAATCCACTGCCGAAGGCCATATGTGTGGGGCCAATTTTGGCACGTCAACAACGCCAGCAAGGGTGTCGATGGATTGTCTGGCTCAGAACAACATTAACATTTTGCCAAGGCCGTCTCTTTCCCGGATATGGCTCCCATTGAACATTCTGGGACGAAATTGGATGGAGGATTGGGACAGGTAGACAGCCACTCACACTTGCACAGTTGGAATAGAGATTGGAGTTTGGGCGGAACCAGTTGCCTCAGGCATCCTTTCAGACTCAAGTGACCTCAATGAGGCCACGTTGCACGGCTTGTGTACAAGCTCAAGGTGATTATACGCGCTACTAAAGAGACTGTCACTTTTCGCGTTCAGGGGTATCTCCATTTGACGGACTGTGATCAATTTGAACTTATTGCAATTCAATGTCAACAGCAACTTTAAGCTGTTAAATTGACAGTGTTTTCTATAGAATAAATGATTAGACATGATTTTGGTTGTCTTCTATTCAAAAACTTAACAAAAAGCCAGACTTGCGTTTCTTTTGCTGTTCAGTAATTCACTAAAACAACAAGGACGTGAATTGGGATGTACAGTAACAGTGTGATGACAAGGGATTACAAGTAGAAGCCAGTGACAAGAGATACATGTAGAAGCCAATGGGGTTTACGGGTCTGTTTGTACAAGTAATACAACCAGTTAGGGTTGGTTGATGAGGACTTCCGGTTGTGCATGAGTACAGTTAAGACGTGTTAGCACGAAGCTCTCGCTAACCCAATAGCAATCCAATCAATCTTCAACTTATGAATTGAAAAAAATAACAAAACCATCTACAGCCTTATTGCATGGTTGATATTCTTCAGTATTGAGTAAAAAGACAAATAATTTTCAATATTTGTACCTATACTGACAGAAAACAAACTCCACAGCGAACACAGACATGATGGAGGAGATAGTCAGAGCGTCCAAAAAAGACTAAAGGAATTCATGTTTGAAATGAAAACAGACCTGCAAACCTCCATCAGTGATGTCAAAGAGGAGCTCACAGATATGAGGATTAAACTTGACAACGTGGAACACGACGTCGCGGTTCACAGAGCAGTTTTGAAGTCGGACAGAAATGGGGGATATTGAACGTGCTTTCTCTCTTCTAGAACGACGGTGTGTATTAAAGGTATCCATGACAGGAAGCCAAATCTCTTATTCTATGGCCTACCGGAGACGCCTCAGGTAAATACTGAGGATGTTTTGAGGACCTTTCTCACAGACCAGCTAAAGTTTTAAAAACAATGCGCCGACAACATTCTCTTGAAAACAGTACACAGATTGTCTAAATCCGACTATCAACGTCAACATTGTCCAACTGCGCTACCGAGTATCATAGCAACATTTATTAAGATGTCGGACAGGGACGACATTTTCGAGGCACGGAAGATGCTCAAAGGTACTGGGATAAGCATACAGTCCGACTTACCACTGATGATGAAGAAACGTCGAGACATTTTAAGTCGCCAAGCAAACGAGATACGTGAGGAGAAGAAGCTCTGGACCCGTGTGCTTGTTGCTGGGATCGAGGTTGTTCTAGAGGTTAAGGAACCTCACGATCCCGCTTCAGCATGGAAAAAGTATGAGTAACTCCAATCATAACAACAAATCAAATGTTTTGTTTTCATATTTCCAGTATTGAGACAATACTGTTTACGTGACGATAATGGTTTACGAGGAAACTGGTGACGCCGCTAAATACTTCCAAAGGTATTGTTTTTACCTTAGAACAGTAAAACATAGCATTCAGAATCTAAATGTTTGTTTAATTTAGTTTTTTCCCCGAAATGAATATAAACTTCCTTTTTTTATTGAACTGTTCATATGTAGTTATCCGGTAGGTAGTATCATAAACACTCCTTGTCCCTCGTGCACGTGTAACCAAGTGTTTTCGATCACCCACATTGGAGACATAAGGGTTAACACTGCGTTGCGCTCGATGTACACAAAACGTAATGTGAAATCTTGTGATTGTGACTGGGATTGTGACTGGGATTCATGTCGGATTATGAGGACACAAACAACACATATTTAACTGTAAGTAACGCGTTTTTTCACCTGTTGTCCTCTTGAATATTTTGGTAAATTTCATAACACTCTCCATATAATCGTAGACACAGTGTGCTGTTGGTTAATATACTGTAGGCTGGCCGATGCTACCAATAAGGTTGGTATCCGAAGCACTACTACGTTACGTGTTGTAGGGATTGGGGTTGTTCTGGAGGAACCTCACAACCCCACTTCAGCATGAAAAAAATACGATTAATTCTAATCATAACAACAAATCATTTGTTGGTTTTTCATATTTCCAATATTAAAACATTACTGTTTTCGTGACGATACTGGTTTACTATGAAAATGGCGACGCCGCAAAATAGTTATAAAGGTATGTTTTTGTTTCTGCACAGTAAAACACAGCATTTAGAATCTAAAATTCTATTTAGCTTATCTAAGCTTTTCCCCCATAATGCCTGTAAACTGTTTTTTATGGAACTATTCAAATGTAGTTAATCAACAGGTAGTATCACAAACACTCCGTATCCCTCGTGCACACCTATCCACGTGTTTCACCATTCGTATTGAAGGCATAAGGGTTAACAATGGCGCGTTCGATGGATACAAAACGTTATGTGAAATCTTGTGATTAGGATTCTTGCCGGATTATGAGGACACAAACAACACAGGTTGTAAATAATGCTTGTTAAAGTATAGTCCTCGTGCATACTTTGTTTAATTCCTTAACATTGTTTTTAGAATTGTTAAAGAAGTTTATCTTTAGTCAATAAATATACTGTGGGTTGGCTGAAAAGCCCGGGATGCTACCACTAAGGTTGGTATCGGAAGAAGCGTTCTTTCCTTTGTTTTGTTTCATGTTTTACACTTATAGAATCACTTTGTTTTTCACTCTCTGTCATGTTTACAAAAGAAAATTGGGTCATAACTTTGTACATAGACTAAGTAAAGTCACGGGGAAGAAATATATAAATACTTCGCAATGGTAGATAGAGTAAGAATATTATGTTTAAATTGTCAAGGGTTAAATAATGAAAACAAAAGAATAGATGTGTTTAGAAATTATAAAGAGAAAAATGGACATATTTATTGCATCCAAGATACTCATTTCACAAGAGATATGGAGCAAAAAATTAAAACAGAATGGGGGTCAGAAATTCGCTTTTGTACCTTAATAGTCAATCAGGGGGGTTGCAAGTTAAACAGAAGGAAGCAGGAAGTCATGCTCCAACCTGACGATTCATGCACATGGATTCCGGGTGGGCGGTGGGCAGCATAACAACCATTTATTTGGACATAGCAAACTACGTACCACTCAAAGGCGACTCGTACCTGGACTTGCCCCCGTACTTCAAGAAAAAACAGGCCATGACCAACGTCAAACCTGAACACGATGATTGTTTGAGGTGGTCGTTGCTATCTCTCTTATTCCCGGCAACTGCCTTCGACCTTCAAACTATCCCACAGACGACGGTCTCAAATGGGACGGCATAGACAAACACACGCCAATCTTGCAGATCGCCAAAGTTGAAAAAAACCCCAAACGATTTAGCTATCAACATGTTCGGCCACGAAGGGAATAAAACCATCGTGCACAGAATAAGCGACATGACGAAAAACGTGCGCCGCAGGCTCAACATGTTCCTGACACATAAAAACGAAAAATATCACTACGTCGGGATTAAGAGTGCAACTTGAAACTGAAAATCAATCCCAAAATCATACCCATCCCCGAGGTGCTGCACAACCTTCGCGGAAACGAATCACACCTCATCATGCAAGCCATCTCTAAAATGCAAGGCAGAATAAATGCATCCCGAACAACATGGACAAATACATATCATTCTCTCTAGACAGACTATCAGTTCTTGCTCTCCTCGCTGGAGAACCTGGTGAATGACCCCGAAGTGTTCTACATAACCAGGCTCGACGAAACGCAATTACCTTCCATGGACAGTTTTTACAGTCACTTGACCGACTCGGCATCAGCAAGGATGATTACTCGCACCTGATAAACATGTGGGACAAACTGGGCTGCAAGACTTTAGGCCACTACCATGATATCTGCTTGAAAACGGACGCGCTGCTGCTCGCCGACGTCTTTGAAACATTGAGAAAAAACTGCCTGAAACAATACGACCTGGATCCCGCCTGGTATTACACCAATCCCGGTCTCTCCTGGGGTGCCATGTTGGAAAAGTCTGGCATGGAATTGGAACTGCTGACCAACTATGACATGCACCTGTTCATCGAACAAGGTTTGCGAGGCGGGATTTCGATGTCCATCAGGCACTCTGTCAAAGCCAACAACAAGCACTGGACAGCTACGACCAAACACATACTCTACCTCTACGCCAACAACCTGTACGGCTGGGGCATGAGCCAACCTTTTCCCACTGGCTGATTCGAGTGGGTGACCAACATGGTGGCAATTGATGTCACGAGCATCGCTCCGGATTCGAACGTCGGCTACATACTTGAAGTCGACTTGGATTATCCCGCCGAGTTGCATCGGCAACACAACAGGTACCCGCTGGTTCCCGAGAGGTTGGCGGTGAACCGAGTCTGGCTGTCTGACTACCAGTGACACTTGATGGGCGAAAAAGTCAAACTGGCCGACATACAAAAACTCGTGCCGTACATCCGAATGAACACGGGTTTGCAAAAACTGGCCACCAAAACTTTTCTACAAACTCATGAACAACTTGGTGTTCGCCAAAAGTATGGAATATCTGCGAACGCGAGTCGACGTGAGGCTGGTCTGAGCTCAGGAGAAAGAAAAAATCAGGAAACTGATAGCCAGCCCAGCTTTTAACCAAAGCAAAATATTCTCCGGGCACTTTGCAGCGCTGCACATGAACAAAAGCCAGATCAAATTCAACCGGCCTGTACTGTGATCGGTGCGAGGTGCTGTACACGGACACGGTTTCGCTGAAATCTGCACCGAGGACGTGTACGAGGACATGGCGAAACACATGCACCTGTACAACATGAGCGATTATCCCAAAGACCATCTGCTGTACAGTCAAGTGAACAAAAAGGTGCTTGGAAAGATGAAGGACGACTGCACAGGCATGCTGATCGCGGAATATGTCGGCATGAGACCCAAAATGTATTCGATCAAGAAAGCTGCCGCCACCGAAATCAGAAAGGTGAAAGGCGTAAAGAAATATGTGGTGAAACAACATATCAGGCACGATCGATTCAAAGAGGCCCTGTTCGAGACACGGACCTTCAAACACCAAATGAACATGCTGAGAAGTGACAAACACACAATATACGGTCTGAGAATCAACAAGATGTCACTGTCGCCTGTGGACACGAAAAGAGGATTGCCGATGATGGCGTCACGACTTACTCATACAGACACACACGTATTAAATAATAATGAAACAATAATCAAATATGGAGAAAAGTTACTACAGCCCGCCGAATACTGGAAGCTTTGTGGGCGCCATCCCTGAACTCGCCAAAGTTGTGACGTCGCTAAAGCTTGGCTTAAAAAACAAGCCTTGCGGCAAGTCTACCTGACGTGGCCCCGGTACATCCCGAGATGAAAATTCGATGTTTCAACGCCAAATCGAGTGCATCAAGCCTCCCGGGCAGCATCGTTCTTCAACTCTCTGGACAGGACCCAGATGGGGTGAGTTTGACTCGGAGATTTAGAAATGTCTGCAGATTTTATTAAATTTAGTTAAATCACCTGAGAAAAGAACCTGTGAAAGTTAGAAGTGTTACAATGTGGTATTGTTTCTTCTAGGATTCTGTAACCTTCAGCAACCAAGGTACCAACACAGACAAGAGCTTTTACTATGTGAACCCAACAACTGGTGTTGTGTTGCTGAAAGACTTGAGATCGACTGACCGCACATCATTTGAGGTAGGATGATGTTAGAAACTCTTGGTTAGGTGATGAATCTGTTTGACTTTTTGTCATGTTTAGAGAGTCATGTTTTGATGTATGAGGATTTTATTAGGAATATTATCAGATTTCATTATTGTGTAAATTCCAGAATGTAACTGGTCCCAAGTTACCTAAGTAACTCTTGCCTTAAGAGACAACTAATACGATCATTTGATCAGACTCATCATCGTAACCACCGATTATGCTATGTGCTTCAATTATCAATCGCTTGTTGGTCAGGTCCAGTTCAGTTATAAACAAGCATGAGTTACCTCGACTTTTAATTTTGGAAAGCTTGTGATTGATTGAAGTGATGTGTTTAAAATAATTAAGGATAATTTAACAAATGAAATGCTTCGATCCAGCCTCACATGAGTGAGGAAAGTTCATGTTAACTTGAACATTATGATTTTGTTGTTTTATTACTTTTTTAAAGTACACAGTCCAGGTCTTTTACCATTTGAATTTGCTCATTACAGATCCCAGTGCAAGTTATGGTAACCTGATATGCTTCAAATATCAGTCGGGGCGGTTGGGTAGCCTAGTGGTTAAAGCGTTGGCTCGTCACGCTGAAGACCCGGGTTCGAATCCCCACATGGGTACAATGTGTGAAGCCCATTTCTGGTGTCCCCCCGCCGTGATGTTGCTGGAATATTGCTAAAAGCGGCGTAAAACCCAACTCAGTCAGTCAGTCAGTCAAATATCAATCACTTGTTGGTCAGGTCCAGTTCAGTTATATACAAACAGGAGTTACATGGTCTTTTGATGTTGGAAAGCTTGTCATTGATTGAAACGATCTGTTAAAAATAATTAAGGATAATTTAACAAATGAAATGCTTCCATCCAGCCTCACATTAATGCTCATTACAGATCCCAGTGCAAGTTTCTGACGGTCGTGGAAAAACTGGTGATGCTATTGTGAGGATAACAGTGACAAAGAACAGTGGCCCACCTGTGTTCAGCAATACACCATATGAAACTAGAATCCCAGTCACACAGCCTGTTGGAACTCGTGTACTCTCGCTCTCCGTCAATGATCCTGATCGCGTGGTATGTTCACAAATCAGTCATGACTTAACATTTCAACTGTTTGTACCGAAGTTGCTTAATGTATATTTTGTCTAGTTAATTCAAAGTGTGTTCCACTTTCCTGTGAAATGCACATTCGATTTACTTATGTACTTAGTAATCTGATTTGCTACAGTATGATTTAATATGTGAATGTTTGCATTATATACTGTTTCCATCATTTGAATCTTTTATACACAGGGAACCATTGTTTGCCAACTTGAGGGGTACGAACCTGGACAAACCTACTTTGATCTAAATAATGTCACACATGCCATCACAGCTCGGGCTAACCTGACTCTCAACCCACATCCTGATGTCATTTATGTGGTAAGCCTTGTTTTAAAGCATTATATCTGAAAATGTTTCAGTGAGAAATATATCAGTAAACCAATGTGAAGAACACATTCCTAAATGCGGTATTTGTTCATTTGGCACACAAACTGTAATATTTGTCCTATTTTCATAACTGATCCTGAATTCAAATCTGACTTTGCACCTAAGACATTTTGCACAAAACCTTTATAAAAACGTGTCAAATTTAAACAATCATCTATGGAATCGAATGGACCCTTAGTGAACTGGTTCATGTTGGGGAGACACAACAGTATCGACAGGATTCAGCAGCAGGAATTAGACATCAGAAATGCTTCCAAGTGTTTCTACCAAGATTTCTATTTTAAAAGTCACTCCATCCTAACATTACCGTCATATGTGGACATTACTTCATTAATACTGTTTGATCAAAGAACTTGGTATGAGTGACATACCAGAAAACAAGTAAGGTCAGTATGCGACTTTCGATACGAATCATAAGGCTCCTCTTCTTTGCTGGTCTTCAAAGATTCTTAAAAAAGTGATGTATTGTCCAAAGACCCTTAAAAGAGAGATGTATTTCTGGGGTCAGCAACTATACAATCCAGTCTCTGTATCTACGAGAATCGTAATCACCAATACATTTTCAAAGAGGTCATACGACTCTTTTTCAGAGGTTGTTTGATCCAGGCTACAATATTCACGGTGTCAGAAAGTATCCGTGATCTAATGTTCGTGGTTCAGCGACTAAATGTTCGATGTAACTTGTACCGTATGTGGTATCTGACTCATGGGTATGCTACTTGGCATGTACATACTGGGACAACTGAGGATATTCCTCTACACAGGTAGATCACGCGACATCTGCCTCCAGGACTGTCAAATCGTCCCCAATAGCAACATATATATGAGTGTGTGTCTGTGTGTGCGCGCGCTAAACTGTCAACTGGCAATTCGCGAATTTTTTACAAGTGCTTCTCGTCCTCCTTGTGTCTACCAATTTACATTTGACATCAATAATTCGTGTTCCCTTGTTGCAGAGGGCATTAGGAAAAGTTATATGACACCCTTCCATTTGTTGCAGATCAAGCAACACTGCTTAACTCTGGCGTACTGGTTCCTTCGAGATTGATTCTTGTGGTTTGTGGTTACCTTGTTAAACATGCAATGTATATCAGAGACTTTTCCTAATGTTACCGTCAATGTCATCCATAAAATACAGGAATCACAATATGGCTATCTCTTGTTGCTTGCGCTGCTGTTACGAGCGGGTGTGGAGCCGAATCCCGGCCCTGATACAGAGGAGCGAGTACAGACCAGAGCAAATAGTGGTGGTAAAGGAGGTGATAAACAGTTGAAATTAACTACACAGGTGAATGGCAAAAATATGCAAACTATTCTCGATGAGCTTAAAAATATGTCAACAAAATGGATAATCTGCAGGCTTCGCATGTAACTATGACAGAGAAGATAGTGTATATGGAGTCAACATTGACCAAGGTGTGTGACCAGCTTTCAGATGTAAATGAACGCTGTCATAGTTTGGAAGCAGAAAACCTTGCACTCAGACAAGTTGTGGACAAGTTAGAGGACAAACTTGATTATATTGAAAATCAAAGCAGAAGAAATAGCTTGAAATTTTATGGAGTCCCCAGAGCCCAGGGTAAAGAATCCTGGGGTGACTGTGAGAAGATTGTGCGGTCAGCGCTGAGGGACAAGATGGACATGGACGACGCAGACAACCACATCCAGCGAGCTCACAGAGTGATGCGGGGGAAGAGCATCATAGTGAAACTTACCAATGATAGTGATAAGTATGATATACTGAAAGCAGCCAAGGAACTGAAGGGGGACACAGATTATCGTTAGTGAGGATTTTTCTACTATTGTGCGACAGAAAAGAAAGTTCCTTGTACCATACATGATTAAATCAAGGGAAGGTGATCGTCTGTCGGACTTGCGTTATGACAAACTGTTTGTGGAAGACAACATATATACGTATGACGTCACTACTGACTCCCTTGTTACAATAAAACAAGGCCTGAAACCTGGTGTCATCGAACCTGCCGTCTAGCAAGTTGGCCAGGCCCAGGAATAACATCATAAGACATTAAATTTCATTATGTGGAATGTGTGTGGTTTGAAACCGAAATTGGCAGATACTGATTTTGTAACATTTTGTAAGAAATTTGATGTGTTTGGTTTTGTTGAGATTAGGAATTATTGTAATGATGTTGATATTGAAAGTTGTTTTCCGAGTCATAAAAGGTATACCAACTATAGAGATTATAATAATCGTGGAGGAGGTGCAGTTTGTGTCAGTAACAAGATTCACAAAGCAGTCATGGAAGTATATTTGGAGTTCTCTGATTGCATATTTCTTCTCATTGCTAAAGATTTTATGGACACATCACAGCATATACTTCTTGGATTTGTGCATATACACCACCTCAATTCATCAGTGAAAAGTGATACCAGACCGCAAAAAGGAATTGATTTCCTAGAAAGCTGCTTTTTATCCTTTTTTATCAGACACATCTGTCAGTAGTCCATCAATGATAATTTTGTGAGATCTGAATGCTAGATGTGGAAATATACAAGATTACATAGAAAATGACAGTTCAGACCATATACCATCACTTGAAGATATGGACTACGTCGAAGATATGTTTAATATACCAAGAGATAGCAAAGATTGTGTGACAAATACATATGGAATTGACCTTACTATGTAAAACCTTCTGTTTACACACGATGAATGGGAGAAGCATCGGTGACCCACTGGGTGATTTCACGTGCTATTCAGGGGAGGTGTCTTTGCACTTCAGAATTGTTTAAATTCGCTATTGATTTCAGTGTTCTAACACGCTGTGAATCCGATCATTTACCAATCCAATGTTCTATGAACATATCAAAACCAGATTTAATTGATGGAAAGGGTGAAAATTCGAAAATGTCAAATGTTGATATGGAGGATCAACAGACATATATATTGGTACAGTGCATGAGAGAATGGTAGATTATGACATTGTACAATTCACAGGAGATGTTAACACGAACATCAACGTTGCTTCAGATAAGTTGTGCTATATATTAACGTTCTCAGCCGATATGTGTGGAACCTTATAGAACCAATCGATCTAAACCATCCTTAACCAAGACGTGGTATGATGAAGAATGTATAATGATGAAACAAATTAAATACAGGGCTTTAGATAAAGTGCGGATTACTGGTCGGACAGTGATTTGGCAGAATTTAGACACTTATGGAATAATTATTGGAAGTTATGCAGAGATAGGAAAACTGAAGAGACTGAAGATCAATTACGTATGCTTACTTCACAACTTGATGACTCCAAACACTTCTGGAAACAGTTAAAACTGATCACAAAGAAGAAAACAAAAATAGCAGAAACTATTTCAGCATTGGATGCGGAAGATTATTTCAAACGCATTCTCAATTTGACAGAAACTTGAAAATGAAAATCTGGAATTCTGCGAAGAGTTTGGGAAGAACCATGATGATTTATTGTGTGAGGTTTGCAATGATGAGGAGGTGAATAGCATTTTGAATAATGATATAACCGACGAGGAGATATTACAAGCAATGTCAAGTTTAAAGGACAGAAAATCAGCTGGACCTGACCGGATACTCCCGGAAATGATCAAGAGTTGCAAAACTATACTACTCCGATACCTGTCAGTACTTTTTAATAGAATATTGCATTCAGGAACGTTTCCAGATAAATGGTTACAAGCACTCATTAAACCTCTCCACAAGAAAGGAAACACTCAAGATGTAAATAATTACAGAGGAACTTCCTTGATGGACATATTGGGAAAGTTATTTACGCATATATTGAATAAACGTTTACAAGCATTTTGTGAAATATATCAGAAGATTCCAGAATCACAGGCTGGATTTCAGTCAGGTTACAGTACAGTGGATTACATGTTTTGTCTCCAGGGTTTAGCACAGAAATACCTATCGAAACGTAAAGGACGATTCTATTGTCTCTGTGTAGATTTTCGCAAGGCATTTGACTGTGTGAACAGAAAGTTGTTATGGTGTATGATACTGAAGAACGGAAAATTCTTTAATATTTTACAGGATATATATTCAAAAAGTAAAATCTGCTGTTAAGATGACTAATTCATCTATTACTGACTATTTTGACAGAGTGAGTGGAGTGAGACAAGGCTGCCATCTAAGTCCGATCCTGTTCTCGTTATACGTTGTGGACTTGGAACACATGATACAGGATTCGGAACTGAGAAGGGATATTTGTTGGACAAGACCTTTTGGAAATTCTTTTATTATTGTTTGCCGATGATGTGTGTATTTTTGATGATACAGTAATAGGAATGCAACGGAAGATTGACGTCATAAAGAATTTTTCTTTCAAGTGGGGACTAAAGGTAAACTCAGAAATGGAGGTATAGTTAAAGGAGCAGAAAAATGGAAATACGGCGAAGTTGACGTAAAGATCTCTTCTTATTACAATTATCTAGGTCTGATGTTTTCATCGAAGTTATCATGGAGCAAGGCTATTGATGTACCAGCATCCAAGGAACCACGGAAACCACGTCCCTAACGTTGCGGCTCTAGGCGGCTGTGGACGCTATGCATTGTACGTCGACTACCTCACAAGATGTATTAAATACTGGTGCATGATACTACGGCTACCGTTAAACAGACACCCGAAACAGGTTCATACCATGATGTTTAATCTGGATTCAAGCAACAGAAGAACATGGGCCAGTCATATAAGAGAATTTCTTTTGCAGTCCGGTTTTGGATTCGTTTGGATGTCACAGGATGTCGGCGATATTCCAAACTTCATGAATACATTTAAACAAAGGATTAAAGATTACTATCAACAAGAATGGAGAGAGGCGTTATCAACATCAAGAAAAATTACCTATTACAAAGATTTTAAATTCGTTCTAAATACAGAGGTTTATCTATCAACTGTCAAAAATAAAGAATTAAGAAGATTATTGTTTCTTTCACGTTCATCCGAATTACAGCTAAAAATCAACACAAGAAGATGGGAAGGGTTGCTGCCTGAAGAAAGGATCTGTCAAGTGTGTGAATTACAGGAAATTGAAGATGAATATCATTTCCTCCTTATATGCCCCTTATACAAAAGCATAAGATTAAAATATCTCCCTCGTTATTATTGCACAAATGTCAGTGTTCAGAAATATATAAATTTGTTGGGTTTCTGTTCATCATTTATACTTCACAATTGTGCTATGTTTATCAAGGAATCACTTCTACAGAGGAAATTACAGCTCGATATGTAAATTCATATAGAGTGTATCAAAATGTCCCGACAAAAAGTTGTTTGAAATGTATTATACGTTGGCGTATGGCCTTTCTATTGAATAAATGATTGACTATATCATTTCTTAGGCCAGACACTTAATTCAACCATTCGCGATACATAACTATCATGTAAATGCCAACGAAAACAAAACAGTAAACTGTTGATGATAATATTATTGTCTGGTAATTGAAAAGTCCTTAATGTAACAGTTAAACACTCTATTCTGAACTTTCAATGGGGAACATTCCTGGAGTTGCGCCCCCTTGCGCGCTTGGAGCGCTGCGCTACGGCCTAACAGTAGCTGTCACTCTGATACTGATACCTTTTTCCATGTGTTTTTAACTGTCTTGCACGACTATTTGGCTGAAGGCTGAATAGGCAGTCACGTTGAGAAAACAACAAACTGTGTTGTTTTTGTTTCCACACTCTACTGTACTTGTGGAATGTGCACCCCCAACCCTCCAGCTAACCCCTCATTCAATGACGGTCATTCAATCCCATTACAATACCAAACCGGTTCTTCAAGAGCGACTATATAACCGCTCCCCATTGAATTGAAAGATAATATTATACATCCTGATAGGACAAGCCACCACCACATAGACCCCCAACATTCACTCATGTTAGCTGTGTGCACCTCTACCTGGGCGTTGGCGTGAAGGTGAGAAATTGTACGTTTGAATTAAGATTAAGATTAAACAGTGTATATGTGTCACTTCAAAATACACAAGTTTGTGAGTGTTCAGAATGACGAATGAGTCTCGTCATACACCAGAAGACTGTTTGCCATATCGATTGCCTTGTATAGAGATTATAGGTCAAGCGTGATTTCCTATGGTAAATACATAATTTACCTACATGTAGTCTTCATATCGTCTGTAAGAGGCTAAAAATGGGTTTTCGTCTGTCGGTCTGCCCGTTCATTCGTTAGCACTGAAACTCTAAACATCTTCTTCATATGTAGCGAACATAATATGTCCTACATGCCCCCTAGCAACAACGAAGTATACATATTCCTATACATAATTGAATATAAGGTATTTGATTTTGAAAAAAACACCTGACATGACAGTCAAAATGCTAGTTCGAAAATATATTTGTGTCGTCATGGTATCTATATGGGCTTGCATTATAAGAAGAGCATTAGTCCGAACGAATACAAGCAGCACCTGTTGGTTATTTGGATTTCAAATGATCAACATGCATTGTATGCTATTTGATGGGGTGGTGGGGTTGCCTAGTGGTTAAAGCGTTGGCTCGTCACGCCGAAGACCCGGGTTCGAATCCCCACATGGGTACAATTTTGTGAAGCCCATTTCTGGTGTCCCCCGCCGTGATGTTGCTGGAATATTGCTAAAAGCGGCGTAAAACCAAACTCTGTCAGTCAGTCAGTATGCTATCTGATAATAGCGTGTTACCGTGGAATGCGCCAATACTACCATAATGACTTACACGTGAATAGTTTAACAACAGGTGTGATTTATCAATTACTGAAGCATTTATACTTTGCATATGCTTACGACATAAAACATGTCTGTCATATCCCGATGCCATAGGTATTCAAATTAGAAATGCAAACTATGAAAAATGAAATTATACCAGGGATATAATCAAATGAAATGAAGTGTTATTGTTATCCTTGACATGGAACACATTGTGTCAGGCACTGAAGCATACAATCTGAAGAAAGGTACCATGCATTCGCTCCGATGCTGAATATTTACCATTATTGCTTGGCATGTGACAAGCTGTCTTCTCATGGTCTGAATATTGAAAGTTATCACTTCACTTAGCTCCCAAACAGATTCACGTGATGGCTGCAAGGCCGCCAGTTCCGACTTTGACCAAACTGACCTGTGTGCTGCTGGTCTACGTAAAGCTGACGACACAAGTCACCCCTCCGCCTTGTAACCGTACGTATTCTTTTCAACGATCCCTTGTACATAAGTAGGCCTATGTTCGTATTTCTAAAACAGAGTAAATAATCTCACCGTTTAATTAGTGCTTCGTTACAGCCTAGTAAACGTAAGTATTCCTTTCAACGATCCCTTGTACATAAGTAGGCCTTTGTTCGTATTTCTAAAACAAAGTAAAGAATCTGAAATTTTAATCAGTGCTTCGTTACAGCCTTGTAAACGTAAGTATTCCTTTCAACGATCCCTTGTACATAAGTAGGCCTTGGTTCATATTTCTCCCCACACAAAGTAAAGAACCTCGCCGTTTAATCATGGTTAGGTTACTGTGATGATGTCAGTTGCTGACATGGACTTACTTGTCAAGAAGAACAGCTGTGGAAATGTGGGTATGATGTATTGGTGTATGTATACATAACACACCGATGAGACCTGACAAGTGATTATGGCAGTATTGATAAAATATATGAGTCTTTACCGTACGTCTTCCATTCCAGCTGGAGACAACCTCTATGCCCCAGTCTTCATTAATTCCGAGGTGCAACAGACCATACCAGAAACATTGCCTATAGACGCCAGCGTCGCAACACTGAGCGCTTCGGATAAGGACACTTTGGTTTGTATCATGTCAGGGCGAAAGTTTTTAGTCGAGAGTAGAATGACATGATTGTTCTGCTCTAGTTTCATAAAGGCAATACTCGGTTCATCAGCGTTCCGATGAATTCTGTTCCTCATTATAGTCAAAAGAATATTAAGAATACTGCCTTGACTAGAATCAGAAAGATTCCATTTGGAGAGCAAAATATTTAGCTGTTATCATGACTGTACACGCCATCATATACCTGATAGGTACTCTTGTATTTAGGCTGACATGACTCTGCTGAGTATGCCTTTTTAAACATTACAGTGTAACTTTGGAAGCCTGACGTACAGCATCACCGGCGATGGTTCTGCTGCATCGTATTTTGGAATAGAAAAGGACACAGGAATAGTTTCTTTGAAAACCAGCCTGACAAACACATCCATCGTTGACTTCACTGTAAGTACAGCCTGTTCAGCTTGACCTGATCAAGTGAATGCTAATGCATTGCGTGACCGTGTCACAACTGGTTGGGTCTATTACTGTGAAGGGGTACAGCTTTGACAGTTTATTGTCAACATGTCCGAACAGCCGAGACAAGGTCGCCTTTTGACATCTCAGTGTCGAGAAATCGCCAGCAATGTCCTAACTTTCTTTAAACTTAAAAAAGAAGCTACATATGGTTCAATGTTTCCGATTCGGGCGTTTAGGCAGCGAGCAGCAACATTAATAACATTCACTGCTCCCCTGTTTAATGACGTTAACTCGACCTGCCGTTTGTGCCATTTGATCATCCGGGTCATGCATATGTAGCGAAGCTCAGGTCAAGCTGAAAGAGCTGTAGGAACTAGTATTTCGTCACCTAACCTGTACACCTCATGCTCTGTTTTGGTCAGCTTGGAAGGCAGATTGCGTTGCCATTTCTTGTAAACGGGATTTCAAAGTGCATAAAGAATGACAGGGTTTCCGTTTGTAGTCAGTGTTCCAGTATCCAGGTTTTGTATTGTAGGTCAAGGTTATGTATAACTTCACTGACAATTGCTGCTGAGATCGGTGTTCTAAAGAAGGGAAAATAGCTGAATATTATTTGGAGTTAATATTTGTTTTGTCTCATTGTGCTTCTAACGAATTCAGGTCCGTATTGAGGTACAAGATGGCAGCTCCCCTCCCTGGAGTTCCACAGCTTTGCTGTACTTAAAGATTACACGAAATTTTGAACGCCCAGTATGGAGTTCTGCAAGGTATGCTACCAACATCCCAGAGACTGCCCCAGTGCTTGAGAATATCCTGAGTGTCACAGCCACAGATAGAGATGCCCAGGTATTGATTTCCTCCCTTGAAATCATCCAAATCACAAAGGTGTCTCACAAATGTGTTAACAGTTGAAACATTGCTTCATCTAGTTTTAAACAGCATTACAAACATCACTTCTTACATTTCAGCCCCCCAACAATGAAGTGACGTATGAGCTTGTAGGAAATGCTGTTCAACTCTATTACTTTGAGATTGTTAGTTCCACTGGTGATATTCGCCCAAGGCGTCCACTTACTTCCGATACAAACAGAAGAAGTCAGTTTGATGTGAGTTGTATTTGTGGACCATCATGTTATTATTCTGGTGTTCCTTTCCATTAATCTTGGTATAATTAAATGAGATCACAGAGAATTGTCCTCAAAGTCATACCCCTACATACTTATGTTGCATTATAGGCTTTTGAAGAATCTGAACTTGTTTGTTTCAGTTTGTTGTGATCGCTCGAGATCAAGGCAGCCCTCCTCTCACTGCTGCAATCAATGCCTCTGTGACAATATCAGTGTTCAGAAACAACAACGCCCCTCGGTTTATCCAGGATCCCTACTCCATTACAGTAGCTCAGGGCCTGGGCAGTGGCACGGTCATCTCTGTCAGGGCAGTTGATGATGACCCTTCTGTAAGTAAAAATCACTATGATTATTTAGCAACTACTGATAAGATTACACAATGCCTTTAAGAAAAGAGGTCATATGTAACCTATGATATTTTTTTCGATTACAGTGTTTTAGTAAAGTAATGATTATAGTTGGGTTGAGTCCCATCCAGGATTTGAATCTACCCCCTCAGAGACAGGCACCTAATCGCCAGCACACAAAGTCAGCCGCCTAACCCGCCCAGCTACCGCGACTTCACAAAAATAGAAGTCGGACAACGGGTAGTCTAGACTTCCGTCTTTGTGTACCACTCTGATAAGTGTAAATTGGCACGGCTTACGGCCGAAAGCTATGATTACATAATGCCATTTAGCAAGTGGTCAAATGTAACATATGTTATATTTGGGATTACACTTTCTTAGTAAAGTATAGATTCTAGTACTTTTGTTGGGTTGAGTCCCATCCGGGGTTCGAACCCACACCCTCAGAGTTAGGCACCAAATAGCTGTTTTGCATTGCCATGATGAAAGACTTATCCTTTGACAACTATGATAGGTTATGATGAACCGTTTTAATAAAATCATTAGGTAAAATTTCATTATATGTATTAATTCTGAGATAATTCACTGTGTTTGTCCACTTAAATTATATCGATGAGACAAAATTATATTGAAACTAATACAAATAAAGATATTAAAGATGGAAGAAAAGAATTTACCTGGAATACTTATATATCACTTCTTCAAGTCTCGTAATGTTTTCCTACTATGTGAGTTTTGTCCAAATTAGGTTTATCCTGTCATACGTCATATGCCATGTTTCCTTCACAGACGGAATTCAACCAGATCTCATATTCCATCGAGGGTCCAGCAAATGCTCTGACTCTGTTTACAATTGATGGGTCAGGAAATATCCAACCAACAAACCCTGCTGCTATCAACAGTGCCTCAGAGACAAATTATAAGGTATTTGTTAACCTTCTATCCATTTACATGAAGACATGGAATAAATCATACAGGCATCAGATTTCATTCACAGTTTGCAGATGTGGGTTCTTTAGTTCTTTAGATTATTGGGATAATCAAGCTTCAATATAAGGCTCCATCTCCAATTGTCTCTATGAAACTGTGCTGGATGAGTTGCAGCTGCAGGATGTGTGCTTATGCTTCAAGACTTAGTTGAGATCTGTAGGAGTATCCTTATTTTGAACACTATAAAATTTAATCATTTTTATTTCAAGAGGTATTATGCATTTCACATATTTGCATTCTATTTTGACTGACTGTATTATGATGTGCAACCTTACAGATTTATGTTCGAGCTGAGGACAATGGCATTCCCAAACTGTACGACATTGTCCTTGTTGAACTCACCATCAACCGGAACCTGAACCCACCCATCTTCAACCCCGTCACCTATGAAGAGACCATTCTGGAGACCAGGCCATTTGGAGACGTGGCTCTCAGAGTGACAGCTTCAGATGCTGATAACCTGGTATGTGGTTGTTGTTAACTGAAATGTCACCTATTTTCTATAGTCCTTGCAGACTCTCAAACACTTGTTTTTCACAAAGTGTAGTCCATTAAAAAACTGGTTTATTAGTGAAAATAGACAGATTAATTTTCTTTTTGAAATATAACCCATTAAGAAAGTGACTTTTTCTGACAATAAATACAATTTTTCCTTATCCTGACTCCTGCTTAATTGCTTGTCTCCTTCTTGCAAATCATAGCGGAACACTTCAATCCCCTTTTTGAAGCTCTCTTAAAAAAAGCGGACGTAAAATCACTCACCCAGTGTTATCTCCGTTTACATGTTTTGGCGGGAAATCCGCCACATGACCCCACATGCTCTTCACTCTGTCCTTCTTCGCCTAGAGGACGGTTGTGGGAGCGCCTGGGTCCCCTATACGGCGTTATATCCTTTTATATTTAGGCCTTTACCACTAAATTTGCTGTATACGGCATTTAGGGTTGATATACCAGCAATATGATTTGAAAATTTGGTCTAAATTATCTGTTTATTCACGTTGTTTATGATTTTTCATCTTGTTTACAATTTTATGAAATCTTGCATTCGTTGCAGATACCGTTTGTCGGTTGCTGATCCGCATTTATTATGTCCTAATTGTATTTCTACATGTTCTTCAAGCTTTCGCTGTCAACTTTGTCAGCATTTATCTGAAATTGAATTTAATAAATATTTATATTCCATTCTTAGACGTGCCAAGGACAGGTTCAGACGGCTTTACAAGTCATGTCTAAACCGAGTGATTGTGCTGATAACCGTTTATTGCTGTCAGCTGACATTCACCATTCCAGTGCTTTACCGGTTGCTACTACGGAGCATGTTGCTGTGGCTGATGGTAGCTCCGGCTCCAGGAAGAGGTCGTCAACATCAACTATAACCACGTCGCAGTCTAAGAAGACTAGGACATCGTCTTCTCAGAAGAACAAGTCGTCTGCAGATAAGATTCTGGAAGTCTTCCCATGGGGCAGCACACAAGACGAGGGTCCTTCGCCGCAGAGATCATCCCTTCAGACGGAAGTAGACGTATACGACGAGCAACGCATCCTCATTCCTGAAGTAGCAGTGAAGAAGAAGACGAGGTCTTCGTCTACAGTAACATCAGCAGTCATCTCTCAGCGCAGTCGGACGTTCTATCAACGCAGACATCAGATAGAGATGGCAGATCTTAACAAGTGCAGCAGTCCTTGGGAGCAGCCTCAGTACTCTCCCAGATGCGTCGTCCTCATTGCAGCAGTCATCGTCGCGAGAGTTTCAACCCGGCATCTTCATGCAGCAGTTTACTCAGCAGATGTTGGACCTGATGGAACGGAGGTTCTTGCAGGAGAGCTGTGACGAAGGCCCCATCTACGACGAGCCTTCATGAAGGACAAGCAGCCTGCATATCGCATCCCGTTAAAGATAGTAACCTGCATGAAGGAGGAAACCTTACGTGAAGGATCACACACTCGACGATGTTCCACGACATCTTCATGAGAGCCTCCTCCTCAGATACAGACAGCCATCAGGAGCCTGCGTGCAGGCACCCTACATACCACCATAGAAGAGAATCTACACCTTTACGAAGGCACAGAGATACGTCTCAAGACTCCAGGGAGGATAGTTATCTGAATCAGTCGCCTGCGCGCAGGTCTCCACGCAGATCACCACGAAGGTCTCCATGCAGATCTCCACGAAGATCTCCACGCAGGTCTCCACGAAGGTCTCCACGCAAGTCTCCACACAGATCTCCATGCACGAGGGAGACACAACGGCTAACGATCTCCAGAACAAGAAGCCTCTAGATCTGAAGATGATGGTGGAATCATATTTTCTTGATACAGAGATCAAATCTTGGATGGCAAATTGATTGGAACTTGCATCACCTTTCAAGAGGATAATGAAGCATTCACGTATATGATGTCAAACGAGGACTTTGATACACTTATTCTTCCACCCATCGATCCTGTCTCGATGTACCGGAGAACCTCAGCACAGCATTCAGGAAGGCAACGAAGTTCCAGCGTCAAAGCGTCCCACCATTCAAAGCAAAGAAGTTCTCTCTTCACCACATGGAACCCTTCATCAAGGCCCTAGAGATAGATGAGAACTACAAGATCATCAACGACTCCCCGATCTAGGACTTATAAAGTAGAGGATAAATAGTTGGCACAACTAGACACAACTACCAGACGTACCTTCTTTGGTCTTGCATGGGTCAAGAGCCATCAATGAAACCTTCGACCTCTGAAGAAGATACAATGATCTACTCGGCATTGCTGGACCCCAAAGAAAGATCATCAGTTTATGTTCGAACATCTGGCATCCACATCAGCGGTCCTGACGCTCTTGAGAAGACAAGGATTGCTGTCTTCCTGTACTTGGAGTGGGCGCTTCACCAAGTCACTATACAGAGCTCCGTGGTCAGCATCATCTATCTTCCAGGGGAAATTGAGGACGTGGCCAAGGAAGTAACGAAAGAGTCAATGGGAGGTAATGATGACCAAGTCCATCCGATACACTAGCCAGTGTTATCCGTCACAGACGTCGAAACGCTATTCCGGCAAGTCGAAGTTTACGGGATACAGAGATCCAGGAAAGAAATATGGCAACTCCAGAGGAGGCAAGGATTCTTTCGTCCGCCCAACCGGAGCTCAAAAGGTTTACCGAGAAGAGACAGGGCACCCAGAGGTGCTAGGAACTTTAGACGCTGAAGGGCGGGTCTGGAACGACTGGAGTCTTCCACCCCAGCCGTTCCCTTACAACCTTCAACAGTGGTGGGCGCCTACAACGCTACTGGAATCCCAGGTCCTACACAGAGGATACAAGATACAACTACAAGCTGTACCACCATTGACAAGCAACTCTCTGGCCCACAACTATACTGCCGACCAAATGGAGAACCTACTGATGCTATCACAACTCTTACTCGAGAAGGAATTGATCAGATAAAATAAAACAGGAATTCGTCACACCCGGTTTTTACTCCCCAATCTTCTTAGTACCAAAGAAAATTTCCAGGGAAAAGTTCCGACTTATCTACAACATGAGAAAATTCAACCAAGATTATCTACGCAGTACATATCTACATCATCGAGGTCTACGCAGTGCGTTTTACCTGGACTACGGGATTCAAGCTCATCAAGATCCCAGTCAACTCAGACTGCAACTAGGCTTCACAATGAGGCTACTCACTCAACTAGGATGTCTAGTAAATTTCCTCAAGTCAGAACTAGAACCCACACAGGATCTGCAATTCCTAGTAATACGGCTCATCACATCGCAGAATCGTATAGTTGTCCCAGAGGAGCGTTGGGTCAAGATACAACAAATTATATCTCAAGCACTACTCTCTCCGTTACCACTACGAGATTAGCAGAGCCTACTTTGTCTTCTCACGTCAGCACAAGACATGACACGCAGAGGGAAGGTTACCGCTGCTGCACTACAAGTGTTTGTGAACGGCTCATCTAGACAGTCTGAACTCCTTCGAATACCGGACGGACTGAAACCATATCTTCTATGGTGGACTCGGAAGTCGAATGTTTGCGGAGGAACCTACTATCAGGAGCCGGAGTACAACACTCATCACTTGAAGGATGGGAGACCACCTCGACAACGAAGTGGCAGCAGGGAAATGGTCGAGTCAGGAGCAAAGTCTGCACATCAACATGCTCGAGAGGAAAGAAGGAATAAACGCCTTACTACACTGGTCCAGCATACTAAGGAACGCACAACTGATGATCCATACGGACAACTCCACAGTGGCGTTCTACATCAACAAACAAGGATCAACAAGGTCAAGGACTCTTCTTGACCTCAGCTTTCATCTGTTCAGCATAATAGACAACCTGAACGTCGACTTAAAAGCATGTCACATTCGCAGAGCCAAGAATGCGATAGCTGATGCCCTATCTCGTCCAACACAACCAACCCCGACGGAATGGATGTTACATCCAGAAGCATTCAGATGCATCATACAGAGGATAGGATATCCGCCGATAGACCTGTTTGCTATAAGGTTCAACAAACAAATACCAACATTCGTCTCTCCGGTTCCGGATCCACAAGCATGGGCGACAGATGCTCTAAGCATCTCCTGGGACGGACTAAATGCTTGCACGTTTCCACCGCCAGCTCTAATACCGCGAGGTGTTGCAGAAAATCAAGCAGACGAAGAAGCTGTAAGTGATTTTGGTCGCGCCCTACTGGCCAGCGAGGGTGTGGTTTCCCATCCTCATACAAGAACTCGGAAGTCCAAACTCCCAGAGTGGCCGAACCTACTAATTCATCCGCACACCAAGCAAGTACACGGAAATCCAACAGTATTCCAGCTACACGCATGGAACGTATCAAAACTTGCTTGAAGAAAGAGGATATTCCGCCAGAGCAGCTTAACGCAGTCACACTAGCTCTACGTGATCAACCTGCAACTTGTATGATGAGAAGTGGCAGAGTTTTTGAGAAATATGATTGAGGAAGGACTTCAAGGCATGAAAGCAACACATCCTCAAGTGACGGAATACCTATGTCATCTAAGACAAAGATTCAATGCTCTCTACATACCTAGCGGCCCTCAGCACGGTTATCACCATGAAGATGGGTGTTAAGCTGACCAAAGTACCAGATATACTGGCTCTACTACGCTCCTTTAAGTTGAAGACCAACAAAGGACATTTAAGGCGCCTGCTTGGGATCTCAACGTAGTCTTGCAGCATCTCACCAGTGACGCTAACGAACCACTAGAAAGCGATATCCTATGAGTTTCTAACACATAAAAACTCTGTTCCTGGTCGCCTTGGCAACAGCAGCTTGGATGTCAGAAATACATGCTCTGGACTTTGAACGAATACGCTTTGATGCACATCGCAACATTATATATCTGGGATTGAGATGGGACTTCATAGCAAAGAACCAACTGCCCGGTCAACCAGACAGACAATTCCACATCCCATGCTTCGGCAGTCCTTGGGCCACAGGATACTCAGGATCTATCCTTTTGCCCAGTCAGGGCATT